TCCATCCGAACGTCCCTCTCTTCCTCTTTGTCCCAGGAAGAGCGGCAACGCGCTGATGCTGATTTAGCATCACAGTCCATCGCTACAAAGATCATTGTGCAAAGTATTGTGCGCGCGTTTGTGCCTGAACACGCTTAAAGCCACGTGAGAAGTATTAATGGACGCCGAAGTAGAGACGCCTCAGGGCTGACAAGCTCGATTAACGCAGCTTTAAAATGCATGTAAAACGAGGGGAAGCCCGGCGCTGTGTACATGTGTGTAGTCGGACATGTGCTCGGAGTGCTGCTGTCTTTGTCTGTGTGTTTATGAGCTCTTTAACCAAGCTGTGGGGAGCAGTGAGCTTTAGGGGTGACTGCCCTCCATCTTGGCACAGCGTTTGCCACCAAAACTCCCCCCCTGACACCCCATGAATCTTCATCACCTGCCAGTTTAATTTGCATGACATTATATTCCAGAATTTAAGGCATGTGGTCGAGGCTGTCAAGCAGAGATGCTGCGTGCTGCATGAGAGAAGACTTCAGGTCTCAGACAAAAGCAGCCAGAAACACAGAGAGTGGAGTTTTGTTGCATGTAATGGCAAAAAAAGAAAAAGAAAAAACTTTTTTTTAAAGGCTTCTTTTACAGCAAACAACAATCATCCTGTGGAAAAAGTTTTTGTGCAGTTTCAGAATTGTTAGATTAAGATGCATCATTTCCCAATTACATGTTTTAAATGTTTGAATTAAATCAACAAGTTTGGTTTAATTGAAGGACACAACAACTTTCACTTTTGTGTATATGCTCATGATGTTCAAGTTTTTAAGTTTTTCTACACAGACATTTCCTTTGTGTTTCAGTTTTTTGCATGGACATATTTTTATTTTATTTTTTATGCAGTTTTTGCAAAGAAAACACTATTTTAAAACTCTTGCTTACAGGTGGATTTATTTATCATAAAATAGGCCTGAAACTTATTTTCATTAATCTGTCAATTACTCCCTCAATTAGTAAAGTAGCTGTTTCTCCATAAAATGTCAGAAAATGGTGCAAACGTATTGATTAGTCTTTCCCAAGGCCTAAAATCACATCCTTAAATGTCTTGTTTTGTCCCGAAAATATTCAGTTTACTGTCACAGAGGACAGACAGAAAATTCAAGAAGCTTCAATTGTTCTCTGAATTTTTTCTTTTTTTTAAGCACTTATTAAAATAGCTGATGCTTAATTTATTTGCTGACAGATAATCTTGTAATTAATAAATCTTTGCAGCTGTAAATATGAATTATTGTCACCTTTTAGTAAACTAATTCATTTATGTCTTTTCCCAGACGAAACACAAACCTGAAGCCTGATTTGTTGAGAAGCTCAGTAATGATTCAGCTCGTTTAGAGAGCGATCGGTTAAAGAAACAAGAACTGAGTGATTTGAATCTTTAGATACGTTCATATTATGGGAGGAGGGGCGACGTACTTTCTTTCACCTCAACTAGTGTCCATGCATTGAAAGCGGCCCACAAACTGTGGATACACTTTGCTTCCACCAACAGCCACTACGAGCGACACAGATGCCCAGACAGACTATCCCCATGGGTACATTTACAAGCACAACAACAGCCCCCGTTGCCCCCACTTCCCTTCTCACCCCCTCAGGTGCTCTTACAGTTCCCTCTGGAAGAAGGGGTGGATTTTTTTTTTTTTTTTTGGGGGGGGAGGAGGTTGAATGCCCCCGGCTATGCCCCCATCTACCCCACCCCACCCCACCCCACCCCCAAGCCCTCTGCGGAGCCTTTTTATGCCCCCTCCCCAACCCCTCCCAAGCTCCCCCGTGGGGCAGGTGACAGCCCTCCACTGTGAAGGGCTGAGGGAGCCATGACGGATTCCACAGATGGAGCGTGGAAATCGCCGGCAAAGACCTCAGCTCTGTGGAGCAACAAAGAGCCCGAGAGTCAGAGAGAGAAATATGGGTGGAAAAGAGAGAGAGATGGGGAGACGGGAGACAAAGAGAGGGTGAGAAGGAGGGAGAGACGAGGGAGGAGAAGGTGGTGCTTGTTTAAGGAGGGATTGTGTGCCAAAGTGCAAAAAAAAAAAAAAAAGTTTGTGTTTTCTGGGCGAATTCGGGGTTTGCTGTTGTTTGAAGTGAAAAATGTGCACGTCTGATGTTTTCTCTGAGCTTTTTTATTTATTATTTTTTATCAGCGAGTACCTGTCAGTGCAGGATGTCCACCGCATGCTCTCATTACGCTGCCCTGACTGACGAAGCTTCCCCGCGGACCTCGTTATCATTTCGGCCCATCATCTTATCTCGTCGTATCTGTATGTAGCAATCCCACAAAGTGAAATGAAACTAATGAGCCAGCTTTGGTTCTCCACCACGGATTCTACCGCGACCAGACTCCCGAGACTTAAGAGGTGCCACTCTGTCGCTTCTTTTGAAATGTTCTTGAAACCCCGGTAGCAGTCATAACCGATAGGTAATTCCAAAGTGATTAAGGATTTTCCCGGGCCGCCTCAGCTTTCCCAAGGCCCAAATCCCTGTGAAATGCTGAGGAACGTGCATGCTGGGGTGGGGTGGGGGGTAGGTAAGGGGGGAGGCATTCCTAGCGGCCCTCCTCCATGCAGGAACTGGAGGGGGAGGCTACAAAAGGCCTCATCTCTTGTTTTTCAGCCGTCCTGTCCAGAACTCCAAAGCCCCACAACTCCACACCCCGAATTCCTCCCTCGACATCTGAAGTCCTGTAAGTCGCAATAAAAGATGCGGACTATCGGTTCAGGAAGGCTTTGTCGCCGCACCGCAGCGACCGAAGGCAGAAAGTTCCACAAACAGCAGATAAAGCTGAACTGCTTAAACCACAGTGGCCATTTTGAATCGTCTTCTGGAGAGGCCCTCAGTTCAGACGCTCCACTCACACGGAGGCTGATGAAGAGCTACCAATCTCTGAGCGCAAAATTGCAAAATATTCAGCAGAGGCTTAAGGCAATGTCTCCATTTCTCTCGCTCCCCCTTTGAAAATATTTTACTTATTGCCTCCCTCATGCTTGAATGTTTCTTTACCAATTTGCTCCTAATGCATGTTAAGTTGACTCCCACTGCTATTGGTGTTGTGAGGAGAAAATCGCCAAAGGGGGAGAGAGGATCAGTTTCACATGAGGGGCCCTGAGCTATTTGGATTCTCTTGTATTTTATTGTTGCTTCTGAGGGGGGAACTAATACAGTGTTGCACACAAAACTTCCCCTATGCTGAGGGGGAATTAATTAAGTGTAACACAAAAAGTGGGCGCTTTGGCCTTGGTGAACTGAGAAGGGAGCCAAAGGAGTGTTTGAAGTGGCACTGAGTTAAAAACCAAGCTGCTGGCTTTCAGAACATAGTTCACAATAGTATTAATACTAATCTGAGACGGAGATGAAAAGTAAAAAAAAAAAAAAAAACACACACAAAAGCTGTCGGGACGCATAACGTCTGTGAGGCTCAGTCAGCCTGAAGATCGACGGGTCCAAAACAGATTCTGAAGTGAAAGCAGGGTCTTCTTAAATATAAGAGATTAGTTTTGAAAAAAAAAGTGTTATTAATTTAATAATTAATTACACAATCAACATAAAATCAGTCACCAATAATTCAAGTTAATGTAATTTACTGAGCAAAAATGAAAAGTCTCTGATTGAAGGATGAAAGAGTTGCTGTCTGAAGGTTTAAATCGCTGAACCCAAAGTGTTTTCTGGGCTTTTTTTATTTTATTTATTTTTTTGCTCCTGTCACATTTTTACTCACTGTGTAGGAAACAGCTCTAAAGTCTGAGATATTTTACTGCTTGTATTTTTATACCTTCTCACACTCTAAGCAGAGAGATGTTTCACCATGCTGGATGCATCCTCCCACAACTTGGTTCTCTGTCGCTTTGAGCTCCATTTATTATATTAATTAAGTCTGTTTTATTTTAGTTTTATTCTTTCTGAACCGTTTCCACTCGTGTCTCCTCTCTTTACGATGACTTTAAGCTTAGATCTGGTTAATGTTCCCGACCAGAAGTTGAATTTCTGACGATTCTTTCTGTTTTTATACCATCTCGCTCTGATTATTGGCATCATGTTGGTGATTTATTAAAACAGAAACGTTTCTCTCAAACGAGTTTTGGGGTTCTGAAGGTTAACGAGTTGGTAAAACAAAACCGTAAAACGTCACCTCAGGCTTTAAGACTATTAAAATAGCGAAACAACAAAAACTGTAAATAATTGATCATTCAGTCCTGTTTTAACTTTTAACCCTGAAGATTTACCGCGTCTCAGATCATTTTTAATTGTTTAATTTAGTGATGTTTGGGTTACAGTATTTTTTGTTATAAACTGGTGCAGACAGATTTGCACCAAACTCTGAAGACCTGACGTGTTTGTTTATTCTGAGCTGCAGCGCTGCTCGTGTGGAGTGACAGGAAGCAACAGAGAGAGACTTGTCATCATAACTCCTGCTTCTGTTCAGATTGTAATCTTTGCATTCACCTGACTATACAGACAGTTTGTCCTTTATCCAGCCAACTGCTCGCGGGCATCCACGCCACTGTCCACGCACACGCTCAGAGAACGGCCCCCAGATCCAAATTAGCCTTTTGTGCGGCTTTTAGTCCACCAGTCCCCCTGTGGTGCCCTGGGAATCTTGTCTGATGGGATTATTCCTTAGGCTTGGAATATTCCTTCTGAATGGAGGTCTTGTTTGGCTCCCGTGTGTGTGTGTGTGTGTGTGTGTGTGTGTGTGTGTGTGTGTAGAGAAAGTAAAATAAAAACAAAACACCGTCTGTAAGAGTTGTAGGTAATCAAAGGAGAACAGCGAGCAAAGTTAGTGTTTTACAGTTCTGCTGACTAGCCGTTACTGTCTCCATTGTCTGAATCCACAGTGAGATTTTACACGTCAGCCCGTTTGCTCTTCAGATGTTTGAGGATCACTGTGGTCAGTAAAATGAATCTGTGAAGCTGTCAAAGTCTCATCAGGATCCTACGTATTGATCTGATATTTTCTTTCTCCCATGTTTGGACAGCGAGTCACTCAGACGAGGGTTCGGACGTGGAGTCAGAGCCCGACCTGCCGCTGAAGAGGAAGCAGCGCCGCAGTCGGACCACCTTCACCGCCGAGCAGCTGGAGGAGCTGGAGCGGGCCTTTGAGAGAACGCACTACCCGGACATCTACACCAGGGAGGAGCTTGCTCAGAGGGCCAAGCTCACCGAGGCCAGGGTGCAGGTATGAGCAGGCCACTACGCAGAGGGGGTCGGGATCTACGACATGAACGTGTATCTGAAAGGCTTTGACGTGATCAAAGGTTGTAAATATTAGCCCTGGAGGAACCCTGACCTAACACACTCCCACGCACATAAACTTTGCGGCGCTGTCTGACCATTTAATGACAAGCTGCTGATGAGTGTTTGCCTCGTACGGCGGCACAAAACCCACCCACACACACACACCTCTCATCCTCTGCTCCCAGAGGCCCGATCTGGACTTTTCCTATTTGTGATGTGGAGTCCAGTAAATTCTCCTCCACAGGCTCCATATGGGAAGTGTAAACAGACCCAGCATGACGCCTGTCCATATGGACGCAGCATGTCACTCAGAGCAACCAGCCATGCTGCACACACTCTCTCACATTGTCTCACACCCCCATAGGAGTGTGAGAGAAGTTATTGCGTAATCTCCCCCTGTGCATAATTATCACTATATCTTATGACAAGGAAAAGCTTTCCAGTTCTGACCGTAGATGCTAATGCAGGCTCGTGTAAAGTCGCATCAACATTTTTTCTAGGTGTGGTTCAGCAACAGGCGAGCGAGGTGGAGGAAGCAAGCTGGAGCCAATCAACTGATGGCGTTTAATCATCTGATCCCAGGGGGCTTCCCACCCTCCGCCATGTCCAGCATCCCGCCCTACCAGCTCTCTGACAGCTCCTACCCCCCCTCATCTATAGCACAAGGTAGGATCAGGCTTATGTAATTAGACCGCTGGCTGGTGGTTGATATGCAGAGTAGCGTCGCATACAACGGAGCCAAGCGTGTTCCAATTCAAAGGAGATCTAGTGTGTTTACAGAGTTTGTTGTTGGAGCAAATGTTTTCCTGAATGAAAGAAAGCTTTGTTCTTAGTTTGGTGTCAACACTTTTTTCCTCCAGTATCCAACTTTTCAAATCAATTTGTGGTGCAAACAAATTACCACAGAGGGATATGTCATCAGTTATTAGAGGTTAAAAAGTTTATTTACTGAAGATGGAGTGACAAAACAAAAAAAATCTATTTATTCTGATGTTTGTGTCGCTTTCAGTTAACTCTCTTAAACTAGTGGTGTCATGCAGAGAAGTTGTTGTTCTTGGTATTCAGTATTTTTGTTCCTTTTAAATCAGTAATTCCATTATTTTGACAACAGTGTTTTTATTGCGTGGTCATTGTTTTATTTGTTCCAAGTGTTTTTAAATTGAAATGACCTCCAACACCTCGACACGCTCTCAATCTTTATCTTGACTTCACTGATTTAGTTTTTACTTGAGTGAAAGTTTAGCAAAGCAGCAGGATTTCAGTCTGACGGCTCTGTTTTGCTACCTTCCCTCGTCCTGCCTTTGGCAGTGTCAGAGCCTCCCAGCACGGTGCACCGTCCCCAGCCTCTGCCTCCCTCCTCGGGCCACCAGGCCTCCGGCGGTGGAGGACAAGGAGAAGGAGGCTCTGCCTACTGCCTCGCCTCCGGACGCCACTCCTTCTCGGGCTACTCAGACAGCTTTGTGGGCCCTGGAGGACCAACCAATCCCATGAACCCCGCCATAGGGAACGGGCTTTCACCACAGGTACGGCAGAAATGTGCACATGTTGAGTTTGCTGCTTACGTAGTTACATGACATCAAATCACGGGAATTTATTTATGTCAGAAAACAAAACTGAAATAATGCAATGGTTAAAAAAAAGTAAGCAATTTCATCTTTTTATTTTTTCTCCTACGAGAAAATGGAACAAACTAATCACTGAGGTAGTACATGTTCACCCATTCTCGTTATCATTTCACTGGAAATCTGATAAGAGATTTTAATTAACAGAAATATTTCTAACTACAGATTTGTAACTCTTATATGAGGGATGCTAGTTAAAGATAACTGATATTTAAGACTCTCTCTCCACCTCCCGTCACTATTTTGAGTACAATTTATTTGCCAAACACACAATAAACAAATAAAATTATTTTTTTATATATTATGAAGTGATAATATCATATACTGTGACAGGCACCATATTACATGAATCCACTCACATTAACATCTGGTTTTGGATTAATTCATTTCGAGACAAATGCAAAAGTAGAACGAAGTAAGTCGGTGTTTTTGCACGCTTGCATGTGTTCGACACTTTATCTGCCTCCAGAGACTGAGATTGTTCTACATGCATGAACAACATCCACAGCATGACGCAGCAGAACCACACAGAATCAGGTCAGAACATGATTTCAGAGAACTGAACTCGGACTGAGAGCCGCACGAGAGCCGTCCGGATTCAGTCGATATATTAAGAGCTATAAAAAAGTCACGTATACTTTTCAAATAATATTCCATGTAGGTGAGGAAGGCATAAACACACACACACACACACACACACACACACACACACGCTCGCTTCTGTGTGATTCACCCGGCCGTCACCACAAAGTGCACGATTTACAGTCAGCGGCGGGTCGGGTCACCGCTGGAGGAGAAAGACGGCGACTCTGGAAGGACAGAGGACAATTGGGCGTGTGACAAATGAGAAGTGAAAAGACAATTACAGTCAATTATGGGGGCATGAAGTCTGAAGGTCTCTGCACCTCGACGGAGGAGTTAGAGACCCTAACAGGCAGAAAATGAGATTTCAGCCTGGCGCAGTCTGACTCCTCAGAGAACGGGCCGCCGCCGCCGCCGCCGCCGCCGCCGTGTGAAGACCGAGATACACTCGCACGGATACACACATGCTTCCACACACACACCACACACACACCACACACTGTAGATAATTGATCAACTCCATAACATTTAGGGGATCAGTTAAGGATTTTGCAACATCTTTTACACAAATATTACATGACATGGTTGAGCGGCATGCATCAGCTTCTCAACCTTCTGTTCAGATCGGAGGATTGATTACTGCAGTTTTTTATTATTTCGAACACAGCAGCAGTTCAGCTTGTTGGTAAATACGTGGTCATGTGTGTGTTGTGAGACTTTTATAAATAAAAAAACAAACAATGCGCACACTTCCAGACGTATACCGCATGTGTAACGCTGGAACAAAATGAAAACACTTCACGTCGTCGCACACAGGCAGCGAGACGCGGCATCGTCGTGGTCATGTGTATGCGAACAAACACTGCCACACTTGAAGCAATGCTGTAGCCCCGAGGGAAGCTTCTCGTGATTGCATTCTTAAAATGTTTGCCTCAACATTCTTCCATGTGAAAGCAAAGGTTCTAATTTATTTGTATATATTTCATACGGCCGGGGAGGAATGTCCCGTCTCAGATGTTTCCCCCCATTCCGACATTCTTCCCCGCTAACTCCTGGACGCACTGATTTAGGCCGCCGGCGACGGCAGCGCTCCAATATGAAACACCCTGGATGGGGCAGCCAGCAGCCATCTCGTGAGGCCGGGAGAAGCTCAGGAAAGAACAGGATGATTCGGAGAGGTTTGGTTAAACAGGCGAAAAGCACAGAAATCACCCAACTGGGCTCCGTCGGTTCAAGTATTCCTGCTGGCGGTGGCGTTTCAGCCTCTTTGTGTCCCCGATCGCTTTCTGTTTAAACCAAACCTCACAAACGCAGGTTAATTTTTTAGGAAAATGTTACCAGGCATGGGAGGAAACACAACTCCCCTCTCAGAATCAACATGGACTCCTCCACTCACCTCCCCTACTTGGGAAATGATTTAAGCAGGACCATGTGTGTGTGTGGATGTAGAATAATATGTCACTTAGAGGGCCAAGAGGACGCAAAGAGCAGCGTACCTGCTTCTTATTAGGACAACTGGAAGAGCCTTGAGGCCTCTGCTCTGCTGAGGAGGAGGTGGGATATGATACATTTAGAGGTAGCAGGTTCAGTTTGGGGTACTTTCATATGTGGTGAAGCCAGCCTCGATTCCTGATTAACGGTTTACGAACCACTTTGATGACGGACAGGTAAATTCAACGAGCGTACGGGGGTTCTGGTGGTATCAGGTCTGGTTTGAAGCCAGTTGAAACGCTTCGCCCCGCGGCTCTTTTCCGTCCTTTGCTGGCAAAGGAATATTCCCCCAAATTCGATTATCTGGTTGCTAATACAGACCAGGTCAGGAGCTAACGGATTTCTCAAACCGCAAATCTATTCCAAAGGTAGAACAGAGCCGAGCTCACTCAGACCTCTATTTCTGTGTTATCTTTGTCGGCGTATCTCTCTCTCGGAGATAAGTTGTTATCTTGTGCCACGGGTTTTTGGACCAGCGTCAAAAAGGAATTTTTGAATAAGCAGAGCGGTGGATCGGAGACAAATTGCTTAATTCTTCCTTTCTGGTGCTATCTCTGTCTGCAGCAGCCGTTTGATGTCCTCAGCAGGGGAATTTCCTTCATGTGTCCGAGTGTGTGTGGCTGTCTTTGTGTCTCTGCTGATGCCTGTTATTCAATTGTGCATCTGTACACTGAAGATTAAAGATATTAAGTGTGTTATAAAGCAAGTTAGAAGCTAAAAGTAGAAGAGAAAACATGTCTTCTACTCTGGATTCTCCACCCTTTGCTCCTACATTCACTCTTTATGCCTGCTAGGCTTTAGGATGTGATGTTAGGGGGCAGGATGGAGGGTCAATGATTGGAACTTAGAAAGTCCACGTTGCATTGATGAAGTTCCTCCTGATTATTCGACTCCACTGATGAGACAAACTTGAGCAAAACCCAATTAGCGACCACATCAATGCAACACCAACACTGGAGCCATCAACGCTCTGAGAGAGACTCAGCTTTAATCCCTGTCTTCCTGTTTCCTTCCTCCAATCAGGTGATGGGTCTGCTAAACCCAGGCGGCGTGCCACACCAGCCCCAAAGCGACTACGCCATCTCCCCTCTGACGGGCGGCCTCGAGCCCCCCGCCGGCATGGCCGCCAGCTGCAGCCAGCGCATGGATCACATCAAGGGCCTGGAGGGTCTCACCAGCGTCCCCTCCATGTCGGCTCTGCCCTCCCTGCCCAGCTCCCAGTCCTACTGCCCCCCGTCCTACAGCTCACCGGGCTACACCGTGGACCACGTGGCGTCCTACCAGTACGGCCAGTACGGACAAAGTAAGGTCAATAGACTTTTTATCCTCACCTTTTACATCCTGACATAGAATCAAACAAATCTAATCATAATAATCTTTACTTTGCACACAGCTGCTTAAAAAACCAGCAAGAGGGAAAAAGAAAGAAAAGCACATAAACACAAATCCCCAAAGCAAAGCGATGCACATTCTCTCTATATGTTATATCCACGTTATAGCAGACGAAGGCACCACAGACCAGACGTAGAAGTATTTAAATTAAAGTAAAACTAATGTCACGCTATAAAAATACACAACATTCACAGTCTCAGGTGAAACTAAAGTGGCATCACTGTCAAAACGTACTAAAGTAAAACTCATTAAGCAGGAAGACTCCTAATAAATTAGTGTTTTTTAGTATTATTTTTCTGGGAGATGTTATGAGTAGAGCTAATGTTAAATCAGATAGTCAGATAAATACAGGATGGTGGAGTAAAAATAATATTTGTCTCTGAAACGTAGTGCAGATGTAGCACTAAACAGGAAAACTCCAGTAAACTACCAGCACCGTTCAATAAGCGTCCCTCCACCCACACCGACAGCAGTTATATGAAGATAATTTGGAAATCGCAAACTTTGTCCACCATCGAGTGAAACACATCACCACTGTTATTGTTTTAAAAACTAGTTGTTCTCACAGATGCTGCAGCATATTTTTTAAAGCTACCCTCTAATATATGTGTAACTGATTTAAAATATGATGGAACATCATGAGAACCATCAAAAGCCTGATTGTCTGGGCACCCCGTAGCTCACCTGGTTTCAACAGAGGCTGTAGTGGTCGTGGGTTCGACTCCCGCTGACGAGCCTTAGCTGCAGGTCCTCCCCATTCTTCTCCTCTATTTCCTGTCCGTCTCTACGGCTCTAAAATAAAAGCAGAAAAATATATATACATATTAAAAAAAGCCTGATTGTCGCACAAGAAGGAGGACGGCATGAATTCATCAACACATTAACGGTTTAAACTCTGGGTGCTGCAGGATGTACGCCTTTTAAACAAAGACAGCGGAGCCCGAAGCTCGTACTGTACATTACTCAAACTTTAAATCTGCTTGGATTGAATAAAACTGAATTACAACATTATCAGATTATTTAACAACCACATTCCAAATTGCCTTGTTTTAAAATTGTGATTTTGATTTGAAATCGATTAATTGTTTAGCCCAAACAAAAATCTGCCTCGGATAATCAGCCGTTACAGTTTTAAGGAAGTAATCTGGATCTTCTCCTGGTTGTTTTTCCATAGTTCTGCTTATGGACAAACAGCGAGGAATGATTCCCTAAATCCTGATGTCTAGTTGATGTGAAACCTGTAATGCAGTGGAGCGGTGATGAGGGTTATGCAGGGTTCTGTGTGAACATCCTGAGATAGAAACTCAGAGGGAAAAACAGAGTAAAGATGTAAATGCGTAGCCTGATGTACCGCCGCTGTAAGGCTGTAGTCCATGATATCAACGCCTGACTGCTCCTGCTCAGCCTAATTTAGTGACGACTGACGTGTTTTTAATGACACAGCTTCTCTCGGCCATGCCCACTCGTGTAACCCACCAAATATGATGTGTTTCTGAGAGCGTGCTCGCCCTGTGGCTTCCAGATCATGTTACCGCAGAACAATAAAGCCACAGATTTAGAAAAAATAAAAAAAATCTGTGACCTTCAGCAACTTTCCAGCTCTCCAGAGCAAACCGCTGACTGTTTTTATTGTGGCCTTTGACTGGCTTGATGAGCCAAATCAGACGATACAGGGTGTAATTATCGGGCACTCTGCTGGTCCAGCGGTCCAAGGTCTACCCTGGAACCGCAAATTCCTCACTTTGATTCCACGAATGGAAAAAAGAAAACCCAACTCCTGTACATGCAGCCCACAGGTAGCTGCAGCCCGTTAAAGACAGCTTAGACTTTCCCGGGTCCAGTCGTGCAGGCTCAAGTGTTGGGGTTAATTGTGCAGATCTGATTCCATCTGCGAAGTGATTGGCCCGCCGCTGATACTGAACTCTGCGGTCGGGTATACGGCGGAGTCAGCTCCCATCAGGGCAGCGGTGGGCGATAGCCCTCCTCGGACCGCCTCCCCTCAGAGGATACCTGCCGGGAGAGGCTCTTTTCACTTCACATTACCGTTAGCTCAAGAGTTAAAATCAACTTCAAACAAATCTACATCTTACTTTGGACGGCAACGTCACTTTCCTCCGCAGCATGATTACAGCGGCCGCCGTTTCCAATTTTGGTCCACAGGGGGTTGACCAATCAGGTTCATCCACTGACCTTGTGGCAACCTCGAGACAACCGGGCCCTTCAAAGAGCGCGGCAACGGTCCAATGAGTCGGACTGCATGCACCTCTGTGGGGCGGCAGGTATCAGATGAATATCTAACTTAATATCCGAGAGCAGCAAATGTCTAATGAAATATCTCGGTCAAATATCTCCAAGTGGACAGAATTAGGAATCAAGGCGACACACATGAAGGAATAGCATGTGGCACCGTGCGCACACACACACACACACACACACACACACACACACACACACACACACACACACACACACATAAACACAAAGGCTCCGAGGCAGCGATCAGGACGGCACACACACACACCTCGGCAGTGTTACGGGCCCGAGCAGTCCATCTTGATGTGATTAATCAGAGCGACTGGATAGCCGGTGTGCGGTTGGGTCTGGAGCTGCAGAGGAAAGGTCCTTTCTGGGGGTGGACGGATCCTAATAGCCTCTGGCAGGGCGGCTATTAGAAACAGGTGCGAGGACTGAGGTCAGCTGGGGAAGCAGCGTTGAGCAGCGCTGCTCCGGGTTCCAGCGCCGCGTCAGGAACTGCTCCGCACTGTTGCACGTTTCGACGACACGCAGCTCTCACTGGACCGCCTCACGGAAATTACAGCGGTAATCCATGAAATGCTTGCTTGTTTTTATTTAGCTAACGTCTCCGTTGCTAAGCCGACGGCGCTGTGGTGTTTCTGCACAGAGGTCACCTGTCAGACGGTTTCTGTGGAGCTTTCCCTTGGTGCTGCCCTTTTCTTTAGCCATGGTGGCAATCGGAGCGAACTGCCCTCCAGAGGTCGGAGAGGCGAAACGCTTCCTCTCCATCTGTGGAAAGATCTCCAAGCAGCTGGGCCTTCGTCAGCCTCGTTGATCGACTCCGACTGGCGCCATGCTTCAGGAGCACGATGCAGAAAATGATGCTTAGCTTCTGTTGGGTTTCAGAGATGGTTAACCCAACGCCGGGTCATGTGCCCTCAGTCTGTGATCTGGGATGTTTTACTATTTCCACAGCGCTGCCTCCCCAGTGGGCTTTATATCCACCACAGTCATGACATTTAATTTCAATATTTAGCCAACGAATGTGAGACGTTAGTTCGAGGCAAAGGAATTGATCCCACTTTGGTCATTTCTACATGTTGGGTTGATCAATAAGCATAAAAGTGAAAAAAACAAACAAACAAACATAAAAACAAGAACAATATTTGAAGAAATAAAGGTTAACTGTGTAGTTATTGTTATTAGTAATCGACTGATTACCAACATTCAGCATTCTGGGTTGTTTTTAAAAAAAAAAAAAAACTGACTCCCACCAAAATACATTAAATTAAAAAACTGGCGCTTTCTAATTAGTCACACCTCACGAGTAACGAACTTCATTAACACTGAGGGATCAATGTTTAAATTCAGCATTAATAAAACACCACGACAGGATCGATGCTTCGTTACCTGATTCCAGAGCTTTATGTAAATGAGAACCGATTCTCAATTAACCTACCTGGTTAAATAAAGGAAAAATAAAATGAAATAAAAATGTCGGATCGGTTTAAACTTTTACCGCCATTAGGGTCGATAAATATTTAAAATAATTCGACTGACGTACAAAGAAATAAACAGAAAGTGGCAAATAAGTAAACTGAGGACAGAACATGTGACCAACTCACATCAGTAAATGATTATTATTGGTATTATTATTTTTGCCATCTGTTCACTGTTTCTGTTGTTGGAACTTAAATACATGATGTCAGTATATTTAAGATTAATGGTGGAAAAACTAACCAAGTACTTGTACATTCATAAATACGGCACTTTAATCACACAATCATACATTTGTACTTTTACTTTTGTTTACATTTAAATGCAGGACTTTTGCTTGAAACTGAATATTTCTACACTGTGTTATTCAGTATAAGATCTGAGCACTCGTCCCACTTCTGTTTAGGATCCTGGCTTCCTGCCTGTCAGGACGAGGTCATAACGTAGTGTTTTCGTGTTAATAAAGCAGATTTGAGCCTGTAGCCTCCTTACGCCGCTCTCACCCCCCTGCCCTGACCTCACACCTCAAACTACTGTTAGCACATGCTATGCTAACAATAGCCACATGTTAGCGGAACGCCGCGCTGAAACATATGCCCAAAATTTATTGCGGCCACATATCACTTTCATCATCCTTCCACCTTATTTTTTTTTTATTTAACAAGTGTTTCATCCTTTTTTTTCCCTCCTCCCAGGTGCCCTTCCTTATCTGAGGCCTGAAATCACCTGATGAGCAGCGTGGAGCAGCGAGGGACGGGCGGTAGTGTGTACAGCAACAGAAACCTTTTAATACCGGGACCAAAATCTCCTACTATTTACCAGGACACCTTCTCTTCTTCAGGACATTATTATTCGCGGCGGCGGAAGAAATGGACGAGAAAAATAAAAAAAATAAAGGGACCACAAGGAGGAATATGAAGCAGGAGCTGCTGACTGATGGTTGCTGTGTCAGTATTGTAAATGAACGGTGGAGATTCCAGCGCTTAACGTGGTCGCTCCGTGGGACCATCTACCGGGCCACGAAGAGCCACTTTCCACGGGCGGCGACCCACCGCCACGTCTGCCTGTGGCGTCTTTGTAAGGAACCCAGATCTATCGCTGCAGACTACCTGTGGGCCGACGCTCGGAGGAGCATGTTTACATATCTTAGCGCCGCGAGAGCGCCTATAAAATTCCATGTATCTCCAAATTAATCCCCAAATTGTAGGGGAGGGGGGAAAGAAAAGGGCTGTGTTGATTTTTATTGCATTTATTTGAGACCTCTGCGTCCCACACATGGAGAGGAATTCCAGAGAGAAGGAAAACAAACGCCGGCTAACGAATCTGTGGGTTTTTATTGTATCTGAAGCGCTAATGTACACCACAGCTGTACTGCAGAGAAAGTTCATTCAAACATTCCTCCTCCCCCTCCGCCTCCCCCCTCGCCTCTCGCCTTTCTGTCCTTCTGTCTCGCTGATGTTTCGGACGGCGAGGCAGAGATCCCGGCCTTTTGTAGTTTTAGAGGGGTACTCGGAGGAGGTCAGGGGGTGACTTTAGGGAAAGTGACAGATGAGAGAGCAGCAGAGGAGGGCGGCGGAGACGTGGCTTTAAAGGAGGCCGGGCGACGGGTGGAGGGGGGGGACAGGCAAGATCGATCACAGGGTTAAAAAAACCCTTTAAAGATCCTCTCCCGGCGAGAGAAAGCCACCGGGTCACAAGTCACGACCAAGAGACACTTGAGAAAGCGAGAGAGCTCAGACTAAAGACAGCCATTCTCCCAGCTGACCAGAAGTGCAATATCATGTATCTCAGAGTCAACCTCACCGTGAACACACACACACAGGAAAATCAAATGTGCCTCTTGAAGTCTTACGAAACACTTTGGATTCATTCCCTGGGTCGAGTGCTTTGTAAAGGAACAACACATGTGCCTTTGAAGGCGTTTGGGTCCAAAACAAATAGGAAACATCGTTAATATTGCTGTGAGCGAGCGAATCCATACGATGCCAGTGTGAAGAGAGAAATGAAGGAATGACGAAGCCAAAACTGTATTTTTTATTACTACTTTGTGTTGCTTGGGACCTTTTATGTTAGTTCCACTTTTGCAAAAGCAGAATTAGGTCTCTGATGCATTCCGGACATATTTATTGTCACATGTGTGTGTCCACAGATTGAAAAGCCTTTTTCCACGTTGTAGAAAACTGCCTTATCCGTCAAACCATGAATAGCCGAGTGACTCCAGAAGCACTCGTGTTCTGTCCGTCTGTCTGTCTTAGAATGAACCAGTCCTTTCATTCCTTTGATATATTTTTTTTGTATTATCTGACAAAGCGATATGACATCACGTCATGTGTACGAGCGCATTATCACTACTATTTATAATAAAAATGAAACTTCTGAAAATAGCCGCCGGTTTAACTCCTTTCCTGTTGTTGGCCGCCGCTAAATGGAGCCGTTGTGTTTATTTTTTGCCTGCAAAGAAGACGGATTGTCGCTCGCTCGGCGGAAGAATACTCGCAGACAAATGTGTACTTTTGACGGGAGCTCATGTGAACCCTCCAACCAAAATAGGCCCGGCCCGAATGGGGATCACCAGACATTAGATTTGACACCGAGCACAACAGGCTTTCTCACGGACGGCTGTAAACGCTCAGACATCTGCATTGGTGTGTATTAATACCCCCGCCGGCCCCCCGCTACTGTAACAAACTGACTTTTGTTTAACAACCTCTGCGATGAAGAGAACAAGCCTTAAAGCGGTTTTGGACAAACAGCACTCCTCTCCAAAAACCCTCTGCAACCCATCCACCCAGCTTACATACACAGGGCCCCTCTGTGTGTGTGTGTGTGTGTGTGTGTGTGTGTGTTTGTGCACCACATGCATTCATACATTATGTTCATGTTCGCTTATAGTGTTGTTTCTGTGTGTGTGTGTGTGCGTGTGCTCATGCAGCCTGAGGGTATTAGGCCTAATTATAACATTCTTCTGATTAATCGTGTCTGCTCGCGGGCCTCAGAGGGGTGGCGCTGTGAGCAGCTCATGCAGCAGGACCACACACTCTATAAATAAAGTCTGAGTCAATAACAACGTGAAGGATCACTCATAGTCTTGTCAGCTCTGTTTGCTGAGCGCCGCTGATTCAGCCAATGGGAGGACACCGAGACGCACATGCCAACACACACACACACACACGCGCTGGAAAAGTACAAGCGGCTAATCACCTGTGGCGCGCACACACACACACACACACACACACACACACACACACACACACACACACACTGTTTGCTTTCTTAATCAGTCCGTACCATTAAAGATGAAGACAAATCACACCTGCAAAGTTCCCGAGCTGAGACATTCGGTTTATTAATGAACGCTCCCCGGCACTGAGAAGCCGGTTATTTCTTTAATGCACCCCAGAGTGTCGTTACGCGCAGCTATTTTAATGACATTTCATACTGCCAGATAATGACAAATTTTTGTCTTTTTGCTCCAATAATAACGATCATATTCAAAGAAATCCAAATTAAATAATCAGTTTTTCTCCTAATTTTATTTTTGCTGGAAAAAAAAAAAAAAAAAACCTTCTGTTCCAAAAACACAAAAATAAAGCGCTGACTTCTGACTTGTGTTGGCACCAATGTATTCAACTTAAAATCCTATTTTTATATCAGCAGCTCGTTAGAATTACTGATCAATCTGCTGATGGTGTCGGACGCTGGGCGAACCAGCAGCTCTACGGAGACAAACACACTCCTGCTGTGCTCCTCAAGACTTCAGATGATAAAATGGAAGAAGTTTCTCTAAAGTAAAACCCCGTCTCACACACACACACACACACACACTCTCCCTCTCTCTTGTTCCCACATGGAGGGAAAACACTCGCAGCCTTGTACAACCATGTGATCCAGTAACTCACATCTTAGACAACCCCCTGGGTTAAAGAATTTGTTTTTTTCCTCACTGTTGTGGTCTAACATGACCTCCAGATCACGGCAGCAGCTGCTTCTGTCATTCTCGCTATGCTAAACGTGTGTGTGTGTGTGTGTGTGTGGACCTTTTCTTATTGTCTTCTCTCCTGTGTGTGTGTGTGTGTGTTGTTCGAGTCACTCTGAATCAGTCGTGTCGTTGAAGCGGGTCGGCACACAGGCTCAGCGGCTTCAGCATGACTGTGATGAGCAGCTGGCTGGCGTTAGCTCGGTCTCCCTCAGCCTGTACGGGTCCAGCCCAGATGTTCTGGTTCCCCTCAGCAGCCCAGAGACGCACTTACTGCCTGTGGATGTGAGTGGATTCGTCTGTCTATACGTGGAGCCCTGAACGGGTTGAAAAGTTGAAACAAATCAAAAATATCATCAAATATGCTGAAGAATGAAAATCAGAAGTTCTGGCCCACTCATACTGAAGGGATTATTAATAATTTATTCCCCTCTTGAAGCGACGGCGCCCACTCAGAAGGCCGCCAGAAGTTGCTTTCATTCCTAACAATACCAAAATCTGTCCGCAAAATAAAATTGTTTACAGATCTTTATTTGGAAAAAAAAAAAATCTCTAAAAATCATTTCCAGATTTTTATTTGGGGGCATTTTATTTTATTTTTTTTAAATAAAGATGAAAATAGAAAGATGGGAGAATGTGGAGAAAGAGAGCAGGAGGATGACCAGGACGGGCTGTGGAGGCCAATTAGATCCAATCAGAGGCTCGTTTAACCAGTTGGATATCAGCTCATCCATTCGTGCACATTAAACGCGGCAACATCCAGTTTACACACAAATTCAAATGTTTAAATTCTTCTGTTTTTATTTTGAATTTATCTATTTATTCTGAAAAAAAAACCCAAGTGGAGAATCAGAAAATAATAAATACATTAAAAAAATTTAACCCCAACTTGAAACACGGGACACTGAGGGTGAAAAGTTAAAGAGACGTGTTTCCATCACATGCTTTCTGCACATTTTGACCTCCTGCATGACAAAGTGTTTTTTGGAAATTATGGAATTGAAATCATTTAAATCAACAAAAAAAGTTTTTTAAAGCTCGCTTGAGACGGACTTTTTAATAAAGACTGAATGCACACGACAGGACTGATGAGCTGTTTACATGCTCGATACCAGCTGACATGAAAGAATAATTATCCTGATTCTAAATCATTCCTAAAGACCCGAAGCAACGTTCCTCTTGTTGATGATCTAAGTTTTGTTTGTTTTTTTTCTTATTCATGAAGTTTTTTTTGGTGGTTAGCAAACAACAGATGTTAGCAGTTCATAGAAACAGGCCGAATTCACACCGTCCCTTTAAAAACATTTCCAAAGTTTGCTTCACATTTCCTCTATAATTACACAGCAACACCGCGATCCTCTCAGAAACTACGTAGGGAATCTACGACACATTTAAAATCAACATATGTTCATACAGATGGAGGACAGCTCAGGTGTGCTGTGCTCCATCCACAGGTGAACAAACCAGCACCATGCATCCCTGTTACGGCTAAATCACACTAAACTAGAGGACATCCGCACCAAAATACAGTCTGACAGCCGGCTTCTGATTGGTAACGAAGGCTTTCCAGGCGGCAGAGCTGCGACCGGATCCAGCATGTGACAGACGTGGTTAGCGCACCGCGACCAAATCAGCTCGACAACGTTCGGCTCTTACGGGATTCTGGGATTTTAATAATTATTGATCTTGCGACGGGCTGAATGATCGTGTTTCCACTGAAGCTTCTGATCCAGTAAAGGATTGTGGCAAGTGAAGACATCAGATCTGTGCGGAGCGGCTGGAACTTTCCTGAAACGAACGCATGCAGCGGTGTCTCATTTCCAACACGGTTTACATAAAGCTGTCCGTCATGCTCTCTGTTGATTACCTCATCTAGCCGCTAGGACCGGGTGATACCAGCCAGTTCCCCGAGGTTTCCACCAACGGGATCAATAAAGTTCTATTCGATTCTATTCTACAGCCAAAAATACTCATCACGATATGAATGAGAAAACTTGCGATAACGAGATAACTGACGCCAGACAAAATACTTAAAAACTTTATTGGTGCTAATTAAAAAAACAACAGTTTCTTTTCCATTCATCAATCAGCTGCATTAAAGGTGTATTACACCAAAATCAATCGTGCATAAGTTGTTAATCGCTTGCTGACAATTAGTTTAATCAAATGGAAATGGGCCGACACATCCTGAGCATAACAATAATAGGATCCACTAAAGTAAAGTAGAGTTGCTTTGGGGACGGTCTGTGAATATTCGGACCAACGGGGTGGAAGTGGGCGGGACGCACAGGCAGGACTTTGCTGCTGATGCCAGTTTAGTGAGCGGCCACAGCTCTGTTTCCACCATCGGGTGGTGGCAGCGGGCGAATATTCGGATCTCAACATTGCTATGCAGACACCACCACAACAACCAAATATTCTGATATCCGGGTCCAGCCCTACGGTGTCGGTCGATGTGTTTGCCCTCCTCCTCGGTGGCCGCCATGCTTCTCGCTCCATGTGCATTGGACCGGACGAAAACAATGGGACTGCAAATTTTATCGCGATATTTCAATTTCATGTCATCCCCTAATATTACCATGCACGGTCTGACATGGCCCGACCCGACTAGCCGGGCCTTTCTCCTTTGCAGCGGTCTCTGGAGAATCAGCACCACCGACTCTGTATCTGTTCGCATATCGGTGATGAACAGAAACCTGTCGTTCATTCACATTTTCAGATCAAAACTTGACACAAAACTTGGATGGAAACACGTCCTGCTGCTGCTTCAGTCGAGCTCACGGCTCACACACGGCTCAGGTCCGATCTGTGAGGATTCCACACGCTGTGATTAATGGTGTTAAATCCTTAGTAGTAGCAGAAGCATTAACCCATGTTCACCGATCTATCAGTACATGTCGGCCCGTCCTCTCTGCACGCCAGGTGGAGGGAAGAGTTTCGGGGTGTCTGGCCGTCTAACCCCTGTACACACACTTAACCCCTGACACTCCCCAGCGTTCAGACACTCTGTCATCACAGGTCTTGGCTGCTGCTGACCTGAGCACTAACACATGCTGGGGACAACTTAACCTCTGGACCTCCGGACGGAAAAACACATCGGCAGAGGAGAAGGAAGGCATCCGAGGAGGAGGAGGAACAGACAGAGGATCCTGTACAAGTGACCCCATTACTGCTGTGATTGATTACATATTTAATGTCTTGTCTCCTTTCTGCAGAATATAGAGTCCTTTTCTGAGGCTCCTGCTCGTTCTAAACTAAGCGTTTAAACACACCTGACGAGTCCACTTGGATGGAAACAGTGCTTTCCTCCTCAATTCTTACAACCTTGTATAATTCAGGGACATAAGTCAGACCCACAAATGAGCTTCTCCTTCAGTTGCCCCTCTGTGCCCGGCTGGGTGCCTCCTT